GAGAATCACCTGAGGTTGGGAGTTCAAGACCAGCCTGGGCAACATGGCAAAACCCTGTCTCTACAAAAAATACAAAAATTAGCTGGGCATGATGGTGCACGCTTGTAGTTCCAGCTACTTGGGGGATTGAGGCAGGAAGATTGTTTGAGCCCAGAAGATGGAGGTTGCAGTGAGCTGAGATCATGCCACTGCACTCCAGCCTAGAAGGCAGAACAAGATTCTGTCTCAAAAATTTAAAAAGACCAAATATTTTTAAAAATTATATCACAGACCCAAATAAACTCTCAGATTCATAAACCCCTTCATCCAGCAGGCAGAATCAAAAGGAGTCTTTCTCTAAGTCAGCCCCAACAGACTTTTAAATTTGTACAATACTCTGATTAAACAAACACAGTGAATATAAAACCAGACTTCTAATAATGTTGAATTTAACCCCAGCTCTGTAATATCGGTTAATAGCTAGAATTAAATAAATCACCTCAGACCAGGTTAGGTGGCTCACACCTGTAATCTCAGTACTTTGGGAGGCCGAGGCAGCTGGATCACTTAAGCCCACGAGTTCAAGACCAGCCTGGGCAACATGGCGAAACCCCATCTCTATGAAAAATACAAAAATTAGCTGGGCCTAGTGGCGCATGCCTGTAGTTTCCGCTACTCGGGAGGCTGAGGTGGGAGGATCGCTTGAGCCTGGGAGGCAAGGTGGAGGTTGCAGTGAGCTGAGATCATGCCACTGCACTCTAGCCTGGGAAACAGAGTGAGACTCTGCCTTAAAAAATAAAAAGAAAAGAAAAGAAACCACCTCAGCCTTCTACCACCTGTCCTGTGTGTTCTGAACAAGCAGCTGAATGCAATGTAACACCCTCTGCATTGCTTCGACTATGCCCCCTTTTTAACCTGTAACAACACCAGACAAAACCCCACCAAATTCCCACTTTTGCCTCAGAAATGATTAGCTGAACAATTTTGTCTTCACTAACTAGCCTGCACAAAATTAATGTAGAGCAAACCTTCCTTAAGTTTCTCTCCCTGCTGGACTCAGTCTGAGCCACAATTCCTCTTTTTAATTAATCTATTTATTTATTTATTTTGAGATGGAGTCTTGCTCTGTCACCCAGGCTGGAGTGTGGTGGCTCACAATCTCGGCTCACTGCAACCTCCGCCTCCCGGGTTCAAGCGATTCTCCTGCCTCAGTCTCCCAAGTAGCTGGGACTATAGGCACGTGCCACCACACCCAGGTAATTTTTGTATTTTTAGTAGAGACGGGGTTTTGCCAAGTTGGCCAGGCTGGTCTCGAACTCCCGGCTTCAGGTGATCCACTCGCCTTGGCCTCCCAAAGTGTTGGGATTACAGGCGTGAGCCATGTGCCCGGCCACAATCCCTCCTTTTTAACCTCTCCTAAGAACTGACTGAAGTCAAGGTGAAACATTCTCTGATGTAGGATCTGATTTTCACCTTCCATCCTGCTCTCTCTCCTACCTTCTTTCTAATATTGTTTGCTCTTCACTTTGAAAAGCAATTTTTCTGGCTGTGCGTGGGGGCTCATGCCTGTAATCCCACCACTTTGGGAGGCCAAGGCAGGCTGATCACTTGAGGTCAAAAGATTGAGACCATCCTGGCTAACACGGTGAAGCCCCATCTCTACTAAAAATACAAAAATTAGCTGGGCATGGTGGCGGGCACCTGTAATCCTAGCTACACAGGAGGCTGAGGCAGGAGAATCACTTGAACCTGGGAGGCGGAGGTTGCAGTGAACTGAGATCGCACCACTGCACCCAGCATGGGCAACAGAGCGAGATCCCGTCTCAAAAAAGAAAAAGGAAAGCAATTTTCTGCCTAAGCTTTGAGATCCTTGCAGACAGATCTTATAGTTGGTAGTTTTCTCCTTTTGCAATATGTTTTTAGAATGAAGTCACTTCTTGCCCAAATCCAGATTCATTTTACTTGAGAACATCTAGCAACATCCCCACAACGGTAACAAAGACTACCTCAGACAGGGCATCACCCCAAATGTCTCTGCCTGTGGATCTCCAACTTTCCAGTGCTCCGTAGCTTCTCTCAGTATAAAGGGCTCCTCCCATGTTTGGAATGAACAGGTTGGGACACCTGCCAGGGAGGTTCCCCAGGAAGAACCAACTCAACTGGGTCTTCAATGACCTCCCTTTGCAGGCTCCAGATTGATCTTAGCTCAGAGTCAGTGGCCTCAGGCTTCTCCACCCCAGTCAAGGCTACTCACTTACCCTTACCTGACTTACACGGGGGTATTTAAAAAAAACATACCACGTGTGATGAGTTCAGCAAAATCACTCCAATCCAGCGTTTATATTTATAGGAGGGAAGAAAACCACAACACATCTATATTTTATAGCTCAATAGAAAAAGCACAAGTATCTATCCATTTCAGAAAACAAATTAATCTATCATTTTCCATAATAATAAATCATTTAGTAAATGAATAATGATATTTGAGTTCTTTAGCTGTTGGAAAGTCCTGTCCCACAGGATTTAGCATTAATCTGTCAAGTCCACATAACAGGAACAGAATAGAGTTATCCACTGTCTCAGATTCTCCACTCTACAAAGGAGAGGAACTAACATTTTGGTAAATCTTTATAATTCATCAATATATCCACCACACTTTCTTGCAAAAATGTATTCATTTTTCTGCAGTCATAAAGGAAAAGAGTTTTTCCCAATTTCTTTTCACTGCTAGGCCCTGAAATTCCATTTGAAATCATCCAATAAAAAAACAGACCTGAGGCCAGGCGTGGTGGCTCACTGCTGTAATCCCAGCACTTTGGGACGCCAAGGCAGGTGGAACACTTTAGGTCAGGAGTTCGAGACCAGCCTGGCCAACATGGTGAAACCCTGTCTCTACTAAAAATATTTTAAAAATTAGCTGGGCGTGGTAGCGTACGTCTGTAATCCTAGCTACTCAGGAGGCCAAGGTGGGAAGACTGCTTGAACCCACGAGGTTGAGACTGCAGTGAGCCGAGATCACGCCACTGTACTCCAGCCTGGGCAACAGAGTGGCAACAACAAAAAAAAAGTAAATAAAAGTTTTAAAAAGAAATAAAATATAGGACTAAATATGCAATTAGTTTTCTGAAACCCAACTTGTTCTTGCCGTTTTGAACATACTTTGCTTTCTTTATTAAGCTCTAATGATAAAATGCATTTAGCAGTTAATAAAAAGCTGAAGCTGAAATGAGTGAACAAATCTTTTCAAGATGACAAATGCAGGGAGGGGCTGACTGGAACACAGACAAATCTGACTCAAGTGTCAGGTCAGGTCCTCCTATCACTTGGGACATCTTCCACCTCCATGAACTGCTGAGTAATTACCCTCCCAGGAGAAGCTCCCTCAATACCACCAACCAGCTGGCTCACCAGCCACGTGTCCCCAAGGAATGGAAACTGGGGTTGGGGAAGAAAAACTGAATGTGTTAAGGGCTTTGCTTTTTGAGGAACAGTATACTAGTGAACTCCTCCCACCCCAAGGCATCCGGCCGCTCCCCTATAAGGTCCCACCCCCCACCTCAGGCTGTCCTCTGGGAGGAGTTACTCAGAGCTGATATTCACTAGACACTACAAAAGACTTAGCAGCTACGAGCATCTTGGAGCAGCCACAAACAGTTCTGTAACCCAGGACCAGGACACCACAGAGACTGGGCTGAGGACAGATCACCCTATGCCATTTGCAAAGAGGAACCTTGACTGAAAATATTCGGTATCTCTATGTAGACAGGATAAAGGACAGTCACACATACACTTTTTTTTTTTTTTTTGCAGTGGAGTCAAGTGGTCATTCTTTGCTTCCTCACATGTGAAATGTTCACAAACCCAAAACAAATCTTTTGAAAAGAACCTTACTTGCTATGTGAAAAGAAAGTGACAATTAAAATAATGCCTCTGTTTGAAATATTGCCTGAGGGACAAAGAGTTCATAAAGTTGCTGTGAATTGAGAGAAAGTTAGCCTGGGGAAGGCTCTGAAACCAAGGGATTTGCTGCCAGCCCTAGGAGGAGTTAGGATGGGGGACAGGGTGGTGGATTTGAGACCCTGCTGCCCACATCTGTGGAAGACTCGGAGGGGAACCGGTCACCCTTGGGAAGAAAAAAGGGACTGGGGAACCCACCACAGCTCCTCTTCCCAAGCACAAAGCCCACACACACGAGTCTGGATTCTGCCTGGTGACCCTCCGTTGTCACCGTGCAGCCTCCTCACCGGGTTCACAGGAACTGCGAGCCAGGCTGGAGGCGAGATTGCAGTTAGATATTAACCAGGTGCTCTCAGCCCTGCTGCCTCGCAAGGCCGCCTCCCTGAGAGTCAGGTCACAGCAGACGCTGACCGCCGGCTTCCTCATCGTGCCTGGGGATAAGATCTCTGAGAGTTGCTCAAGAGTCGCCTGAGTTCTTTCTCGGATCCTGAATTGCAGCGGAAAGGCTGGCGCCAAGCAGGCTGAAGACCCCACGAGGGAGCCCACTCAGCAGGAGAATACGGTTTCTTCACCTCCAGTCCCAGGAGTCACCCCTCACTTCCCCACCAACCAGCGACCCCACACCCCAGCCGCCCCTGTCCACACCCCCAAACACCCCATCCCCAAACCTCTCAGGGACGCGGATCTGGGGTTTCCTCCCCTCTCCCCCATTAAACTGTTTCTGATGTAGCCTTCGGCGTCTCGGTGCAGTGACTCGGGCCGCGAACCTGTGCCGGTTACAGCCGCACAATCTGGGGAGACGCGGAGCTGCGGGCGCGGAGCTGCCCAGAGAGGGCGCCGGCCGCAGTGGCCGCGCAGGGAAGGGACAGGACGCCCGGGGTCCCGGCTGCCGCCTCAGCCCCATCTTGCGGCCGAGGGGACCAAGGGCCGAGCTGCGCCAGGGGCACTCTGGTTTGCAGACCCCGGAGTCGCCCAGGACGAGGCCCGGGTCCCCTCACGGTCGGTTCCGGCCAGTTCCAACCTGCCCCTTCTTTGCCTCGGGACGCCGGGCCCTGCACACTCACCATTTCCCGGCTTCTTGGTGTCCGGGTGTCCTCCCTATAAGCCAGCGTCCAGTGTGGGTCCCGGCGAGACAGACGCTGATACAGACCTTCCAGGGCGTCTCTCTCTCAGCGACAGACTCAGGACTCAGAGCGCAGGGGCGTGGAGAAGACTCCGCGGGCTCTTTGAACGTCGCACCCTCCTCCCTGCAGCGTGCCTGATTGACAGTTCTCACACACCCCGCCCCCTCGGCCCTGATTGGATAGTGCTCCAGATCCCGCCCCTTGGTGACTGATTGACAGAAGAAGCGATCTCGCAGTGCTGAGTGGAGCCGGATGAACAGGTTCCAGACACTGCCCTTGGCAAGGCGGGCTTCCTCCCAACGCAGTGACCTGACCCCTCCCGAAGTGACGTTTGCATTTTAGAATTTCCTGATTGTACTCAGTGGATTCTTCCTGCTTTTTCCTCCTGGACAGGGACTCACAAGTGTGTGCAGGGAATTCGAGGCCCCCTGTCCAGTGGGGCCATTCCCGGACCTCGGAGCAGGAGGGGATCCCAGGGCACACAGGCCACCCTGCAGCAGGAGGGAGGGCCTGATGTCCTCCAGGGATCAGGAATTTGGGATGAGGCTGTTGGCGACGTGGTCAAGCCGTTCCCTCACCTTATCTCACAATCTACTCATTTGCAGCCCAGAAGATAAAAACACGACAACAAAATAAAATTGTTAAGTATGTGGAAAAACTGGAATTATATGGCAGCAATATTTTGTAAAGAATCAAAAGAGAAGAAAAGCAAAAACTTGAACTAGCTCAGAGAAGCAGCCTATTGCACCAACTGTTCACAAGCAGACCCCCTTTCAGGAGGTCAAACGTATCCCCAAGCTGGGAAGCCAGACAATGATTCCTAAGACGGAGCCCCGGGGTGGATCAGAAGCTGGTGTTGGTGGGAGGGACAATTAAGAATTTAACTTTGAGATCTCAAAATACCTGTCCCCTCTGGACAGCGTGGAAATTCTCTCTCCTTATGCCATTAAATGTTCATAATTTAAACGCTTCGATCAAAAGCCGAGACATTAGACTTTGAATTTGAAAACATTAGCCTTTCTCCATGTATTTATGAAGTAAGAATACTAGACTTAAAAGCGTTATGGCCGGGCGCTGTGGCTGACGCCTGTAATTCCAGCACTTTGGGAGGCCGAGGCGGGTGGATCACCTGAGGTCGGGAGTTTGAGACCAGCCTGACAAACATGGTGAAACCCCGTTTCTACTAAAAATACGAAATTAGCCGGGTGTGGTGGCGCACGCCTGTAATCACAGCTACTCAGGAGGCTGAGGCAGGAGAATCGCTTGAACCCGAGAGGCGGAGGTTGCGGTGCGCCAAGATCGTGCCATTGCACTCCAGCCTGGGCAACAAGAGCAAAACTCCATGTCACCAAAAAAAAAAAAAAAAGGGATCACGAGGTCAGGAGTCCGAGACCAGCCTGCCTGACAAACATGGTGAAACCCCGTCTCTACTAAAAATACAAAGATTAGTTGGGCGTGGTGGCGCGCGCCTATAACCCCAGCTACTCAGGAAGCTGAGGCAGGAGAATCGCTTGAACCTGGGAGGCAGAGGTTTCAGTGAGGCAACATCACACCACTGCACTCCAGCCTGGGCGACAGAGCGAGAAAACAAAACAAAACAAAACAAAACTCCATCTCAAAAAAAAAAAAAAAAACTTGTTATAAACTAGAAGCTGGTACCCATGGCTAAATAGAAAGGAGCTGAACATGAGATGTCAATAGATCAAATGAAATCTTTAATCAACTTCTAGAAACTATAGCATTTTCTGCCAGGACAAATGGACACGTTTAGAAAACGAATGAAAAAAATGATGTCTCGGCCAGGTGCGGTGGCTCACGCCTGTAATCCCAGCACTTTGGGAGGCCGAGGCGGGCCGATCATGAGGTCAGGAGATGGAGACCATCCTGGCTAACACGGTGAAACCCCGTCTCTACTAAAAATACAAAAAATTAGCCGGGCGCGGTTGCACGCGCCTGTAATCCCAGCTACTCAGGAGGCTGAGGCAGGAGAATCGCTTGAACCCGGTAGGCGGAGGTTGTGGTGAGCGGAGATCAGGATCATGCCCCTGCACTCCAGCCCGGAAGACAGCGAGACTCCGTCTCAAAAAAAAATAAAATAAATAAAAAATAAATAAAAAATTAAGCGCGCGCACACGCACATACACATACACTCCCAGTCTATTATGCTAGAAACTGCTTTCTGAAGGATAAACTACCATTCTATTCTATGAAATGCTCCACCCCTCACTCCTCACATTAACTGCTCCTGGAACAATGTTCTATTTATTTGTTTCCACACATGTTAAAAGAGAGCACAATGTATCAAACTAACTGATTGTCAGGGATTTATATACAGATTTCGTATATTTTACAAATGGCAACAAGTAAGTAGTTGATTTCTGCAATGATTTAAATACATATAAAAGCTTCCAGACAAAAATAGCTGTTCACATTACCATGATGAAGGAAAAATCAACAATCATGAGACCCACTTTCCCCAACCCCCAACAGGGAGAAAGGACAAAAGAAATCCTAAGAGAAGCTAGAAAGCTCAAAATTTGTGTGTGCAAGTTTAAACACAATATAGAAATTATTGCTGTTAGTTTCCTCACAGTCAGTTCTATGGCAACACTATGCTTTTCTGAATTAGGATGTTTATTTCCGAGGTTTTTTTTTTTTTTTTTTTTGAGACAGAGTCTCGCTCTGTCACCCAGGCTGGAGTGCAGTGGCCCAATCTCAGCTCACTGCAAGCTCTGCCTCCCAGGTTTACACCATTCTCCTGCCTCAGCCTCCCAAGTAGCTGGGACTACAGGCACCCGCCACCGCGCCCAGCTAATTTTTTGTATTTTTAGTAGGGACGGGGTTTCACCGTGGTCTTGATCTCCTGACCTTGTGATCCACCTGCCTTGGCCTTCCAAAGTGCTGGGATTACAGGCGTGAGCCACCATGCCCGGCTGAGGTTTTTTTTTTTTTTTTTTTAAAGAAAATGAAACACAACTCCTTCCCCAACCCTCTGTCACAAAGATCCTCTAATATCTGCTGCTGAATTTATATATATATTTTTTTACCATTTCAGTGTGAGTTAACTTTAATGCATGCTGTCAGGAGCTCAGTTCATGTTTCTGAAGGTCAATATTCAACTTCTCTAGTAGCTTGTTGAAAAGACTTTCCCCTTTAATTTATCTTGGCCTATTTGTTGCAAATTAATTAACTATCCATGAAGAGTGTCTTAGTCCGTGTGTGCTGCTATAATGAAATACTGCCAAATGGGCAATTTGTAAAGAATATTAATCAGTTTTCTCATAGTTCTGGATGCTGGGAATTCCAAGATAAAGGTGCCGGCACCTAGGGAAGGCCCTCTTACTGCATCTTCTGGAGGGAAGGAACACTGCATCCTCACAGGGCAGAAGACAGAGGGCAAGAGAGGGCGAACCCCATCCATCAAACCCATTATAGTGGCATTAGTCTACTCATGAGGGCTCTGCCAAAAGACCAAAAGTCTCCACCTCCCAAAACTGTGGTGCTGGGGATTGAGTTCTAACCTATGAATTTTGAGGGAACACAAACATTCAAATGATAGCAAAGGGGGTTATTTCCAGACTCTCAGTTCTGTCATATTGATTTATTTCTGACATCTTCCCAGTAAATCTGGCCACTATACTACCTTGACCTGATGTTGGAGAGCCCCACCCCATTTCACATGACTGTCACGCACAGATAGAAATGGTCCTAAAGCCACAGGAAGATCTCCTAGACACCTCCGTGGATGACCTAGACTTACTATCATTTTGAGAAGGCCCCTCTTAACACAAATGTGGGGAAAACATAGTAACTGGTTTTGTCATAATTTCTCCACATGAAACAATTGAGGCATACTCTTTACTCACTGCAAAATCAGCCTGAGCCTCTAGCTCATTGCTCTTACTAGATCTTGCATGTTGGCAAAGGGGAAACTGCCACCATTGACACTAATTCCAGATATGCTTTGGGAATCTTTTTTGCTGTTGGCACAATCTGAAAATCCTTCGCATTTACAACTTGTTCTGGTACACCCATTGCCAATGAACATACATAACTGGGACACTATTAGAAGTTGTTCACCTCTCTACTAAAATGGCTATTGTTCACTGTCTAGCCCATACTAAGGAGACTTCTACTACATCTCTGGGCATTAAAAGACTGCTAAACAGGGCGGGGCGTGATGGCTCACGCCTGTAATCCCAATACTTTGGGAGGCTGAGGCAGGCGGATCACCTGAGGTCAAGAGCTCAAGACCAGCCTGGCCAACATGGAGAAACCCCATCTCTACCAAAAATACAAAATTAGCCAGGCATGATGGCATATGCCTGTAGTCCCAGCTACTTGGGAGGCTGAGGCAGGAGAATCACTTGAATCTGGGAGGCAGCGGATGCGGTGAGCTGAGATCACACCATTGCACTCCAGCCTGGGCAATAAGAGCGAAACTCCATCTCAAAAACAAAACAAAACAAAACAAAACAAAAGACTGCTAAACAGGAAGCCAAAAATGGCACCTTATCTCTGCTGAATTTACAAACCTGCCGTTATCCTTGATTTATATTATCAAGTAAAACTCAATAATCGGAAAACCATCAATAGGTATGAAGGGGAGATAACTATTGCACAGATTATACATTAGGCCAATCGCACTGTAGCTCCTTTCTTCTCTCTTTTTTTTTTTTTTTTTGAGACGGAGTCTCGCTCTGTTGCCCAGGCTGGAGTGCAGTGGCCGGATCTCAGCTCACTGCAAGCTCCGCCTCCCGGGTTTACGCCATTTTCCTGCCTCAGCCTCCCAAGTAGCTGGGACTACAGGCGCCCGCCACCTCGCCCGGCTAATTTTTTTGTATTTTTTAGTAGAGACGGGGTTTCACCGTGTTAGCCAGGATGGTCTCGATCTCCTGACCTCGTGATCCGCCCGTCTCGGCCTCCCAAAGTGCTGGGATTACAGGCTTGAGCCACGGCGCCCCGACTGTAGCTTCTTTCTTTTGATGCTTTGCCTTGTGCTAATCTTCCACTGGGTTGGACATAGACGCAGATGATGGATACTTAATAATCTAAAGGTAACTGACTGGCTGCCTTGGCATGCACAAAATTTATGATCCAACTATATGTTGCATGAAACCAACATATCTCCGAGAATACT